ACCAGATCAGATGATAAACAGACAGAAGATCAGACAGATGATCAGACCAGATCAGATGAATAACAGACAGAAGACCAGACAGAAGATCAGACCAGATCAGATGAATAACAGACAGAAGATCAGACAAGATCAGATGAATAACAGACAGAAGATCAGACAGATGATCAGACCAGATCAGATGAATAACAGACAGAAGATCAGACAGAAGATCAGACCAGATCAGATGAAAAACAGACAGAAGATCAGACCAGATCAGATCAGAACAGACAGATGATCAGACAGAAGATCAGACCAGATGAGATGAGAAAAGATCAGACTGGGGGTGAGATTGCTAGAACACAGACTCAGATCAGTACAGTGGTTTGTTTACCTTGATTATCAGCAGGATCTCGGTCTCCTCTCTCGGTTATGTCCAGTTCAATCACAGCTAACACATTTAAAATATCACCTATGGCGCTAATTGTTCGTCAAGCCATCAAACTCGACAGCAGGAGTCAAACGAGTCCCCGGACACTAAAAGAAAGAGCTCTGACGAAGACGAGCAGGAAAATAATGAAGAAAAACGAGGAAAATACCCGAGGCCTTCATAAAGAGTGAGAAACATCACTCATGACTACAGACCCGAAGTGATGGAGAAGACATCAGTGATCAATAACAGATTTCCATCGTGCTCTCATGAATATTCATACTCTCAGACACACATATAACCCATATAAATACAAAAACACTCAAATATAAATAAACTCCAACAGCGGCCTGCGCTAGTTAGCATTAGCAGCTAAAGTAGGAATAATCTCGAATATCCTCGCTTCAGCGCAGGAATAAAGGAGTTTCGCGTTTAAAATCAAGAGTTAAAAGCGGCGCTTAGCGACGTGTTGCTTTATGGAAATATGAATAAAGGAAACGCGTTTATTGGTGTCAATTATTCTGACGCGTCACCATCTGATCCATGAGGAAAAACACCGGGATAAAAGTACAAATCGACCACTTTAAAAGCCCAAAGCGCCCTTTAAACGATACTAGCCGCGAATAAAGTCTTTCGACGGCCGGTCTGAGCTCACAAAACAATAACTAACGGGTAAAAAAAGAGTTAAAACAAAAATTAACAGCGAGAGTTTGTCGCTGCTCCAGTTTCCTGCGCTCGCGAGAGGTCAGGACGCGCTGACGTCACGACGCATCCAGAAATCCAGACGGGAAGACGCTTTCACGATAATAAACACTCTGAATACAAACTCACGCGGATTTTATCGCATTTCATGAATATTATGCTTTTTATTGTTCTTCCTTATGTGAATAATGCTTAAATGATGTATTGTAGACTTTATGAGTGCCTTTAATGATACCCAGAGGCGCAGCAGCGACTGGAGTCCGCGGTGTTTAGGTGTTCTGTATTGTTATTTTAGCTAATGGCATTTGTGTGATAAATGTACAGATTACTCACAGACACAATCAGACAGTCGACATTTTTCTGTACAATTAGAAATCATATAAAATCTGGCTGGATATGTTGTGTTTTCCCTCAATAGCTTCAACATTAAATCAGTGACTCACTGCTCTTCTGTTAATAATAATTAATAATGATCATAATAACAAGACAAATGGCACTGTTACTGACATCTGGGTTAAAAACAACCCACGTTTATGAATTTATAATAAATGCTGCAGTGTTTCATTACTGTAATAAAGTGTATTATACTGTATATTATAATATGTACAACTGTTCTGTCTGTTAATGAGTGCTCCAGCATGCTGCACTGACTATAGTGACTGCACTGACCACTGTGCATCATTTTATTACAGTAGACTGTCTAGTGTTGTATAGTTTAGGTTTAAAATAAAAATACTGTGTAGAAATGTGTTTATGGTGGTGTAGACGTTGTATTAACATTGCGACTATGGAGTTTTTACTTACCATAACTCTCTTTTTTCATATAGTATGATTAAATACACAGCAGCATGTACAAAATGTAACCTCCTTTAGTGTTCTGTTGTGTGACGGCGTCCCGTTCCGCTGTCTGCATCAGACTTCATTTATAAAAGTGATTTAAACACATGAATAAACAGATGCAGCACATGAAAATGACCTGTCATTATATATGTGTTAAATAAATATGTGTATTATACAGATGCGTTCACATCACAATTAAACAACACACTTATTCATACTGTTAAAATGTATTAATAA